TCAAATAAATAAATAAAATCTTAAAAAAAAAAAAGATGTTATTTTCAATTCTTTTGGATATATGCCCCAAAGTGGGAGAGGTAATACTCTTTGACTAGAAACTTTGTCTTTGGTCTTTCTGGTCTAAAATAGGTCCCTCATCCCTGTCGGTCTGTATGTCATTATCCTGTTCAATTTTCCTTAAATACTTGACATTATATTGTATATATATTTGTCTCTCAAAATAGAATATTAGTTACAGGAGATCAGGAACTTTGTTTTATTCACTGTTATCTCATTAGAACTCAAATTAGTGCCTGGTACATAGTAGGCACTTAATAAAAATTGGTTGAAGGGACAAATAAATTGGATAAAATGGAAAAGTAGAAGTAAATGTGCCTGCATTCAAGTATCTTTGCTGTTGTTGTCATTGTCATTTGATTTTTCTCATCTTTACCTTTCTCCTTTCTATATTCAGAATATGAGTGATGCTATGGCAATCTTGCACAAACTACAGACAGGCTTGGATGTAAACGTAAAATTCACTGGTGTTCGAGTATTTGAGTATACACCAGAATGCATTGTATTTGATCTTCTTGATATTCCTTTGTACCATGGGTGGTTAGTGGATCCACAGGTAAGTAGAAAATTTAAAATTATATAAACACAAATGTAGTAAAATTTTATTCATTTGGAAATTTAATCTAGATTTATACTTTCTGATTGTTTTATATATATAATTTTTTTTTTTTTTTGAGAGAGAGAGTGAGCATGAGTGGCAGAGGGAGAGAGACAGCCTCTTAAGCATGCTCCACACGCAGCGTGGAGCCCAACACAGGGCTCGATCTCATGACCCTGAGATCATGACCTGAGCTGAAATCAAGAGTCGGACACTTAACTGACTGAACCACGCATGTGCCCCTCTGATTGTTATATTTTTGTGGTTTTACCTGAAATTAGCCAAATTGTGAGGTTAAGGGCACTGTACTCCAGACTGCTCAGTTTGTCCAAGACTTCTAACTATAACTTCAAGGAGTTAGGAGTTACCTACGAAGTTGAGTCCCCATTCTCACCAACACTTGTTATTATCTGTTATTTGGATTATAGTCATACTAATAGGTATAAAATTGCATCTCATTGTGGATTTGTTTGTATTTCTTTTGACTAATAATGTTGAACATCTTTTCATGTGCTTATTGGCCATTTGTATATCTTCTTAGGAGAAAAGTCTGCAGATCCGTTCCCCATTTTTAATTGGGCTATTTGTCTTTTTGTTATAGAGTTGCAAGAGTTCTTTATATATTCTAGGTATAAGTCTCTTACTAGATAAATGATTTGTAAATATTTTCTACCATTCTGTGGATAGTCTTTTCACTTTATTGATGGTGTTCTTGAAAAGCCAAAAAGTTTTTAATTTTGATGATATCCAATTTATCTTTTTTTCTTTTGTTGCTTATGCTTTTGATGTCCTAAGAAGGCTTTGCCTAACCCAAAGTCACAAAGATTTACTCCTGTATCTTCTTCTAAGAGTTTTATAAAGTTTTAGTGCTTATATTTAGGAGTGTGATTGATCAATTTTGAGTTAATCTTTGTATATAGTTTGACGAGGGATCCATTTTTATTCTTTTGCATGTGGATATCCAGTTGTCCTAGTAGTATTTGTTGTACTCTTTGTAAAAGATTATTCTTTCCCCCATTGAGTTGTCTTGGCACTCAGAGTGATCTTTGTAAAATAACCCTCCCCTTGATGCCTGTGCCCCCCTCCTTTCCTTAAAAACCTCCACTGTAACTCCAATAAGATACAAAATCCTTATTAGAGTTATGATATGCTGCATGACCTAGACTCTGTATCTGTCCAACTTCACCTCATATAATTATCCCTTTTTTTTTTTTTTTACTACTCTCTAGTAATGCTGACTGCTCTTCTGTTTTTCAGGCATGTTAAGTTCATTTCTATTTCAGGTTTTTCTACTGGCTGATTGCCTACTGTGGAACATTGTTTTACTACCCTACATGTTGTTCTCCCAGATCTTCATGTTTCTGGTACCTCATTATTCAGATCTCAGGTCAAATATCACCTTGTTAGAGAGACCCTTTCTGACAACTTGTTGAAATTAGTCACCCTCCTTTTCCTCAGTCATTTCCTCTCCCACAATCCTATTTGATTTTCTTTACCACTTACCGTTATCTGGAATTATTATTTATTTATTTACTTGATTGGCTCTCATCTCCCTCTAGAATGTTTTATGAGGGCTGAGCTCTTATATCTCATTGTTTAGAACAGTGGTTGGCACATAGTAGGTTCTTAGTAAATATTGATTGATGGCATGAAGCATGTATACATGTCTCCATGTGTTAACTACAAGGACGGAGAGATCATAATAGCAGTGGTTTCTCCATCCTTGTCTGTTGGTAAAAGCAACCGGTAGTCTGGGCAAGGAAAGCATGGCTTACTGTAAACAGGGCATCTGTATCTTTATTGGCATTCTGTCTCTGAGAATATCACTGAAAAGTGTAGCCATGTCTAGCATTTTACATATCCAAGGTGAGCCATGTTGCATCCTGGCAGATGACAATGCCAGATTGCCTAGATTCTTGAGGAGAATGAGCTGACAGCCTGAGGAACTTAAGCCTGAGTTCTTAAAAATTTTACTCAGATCATCGCTCTGACTGTCTGTATAGAACTATATATTGTCTGGTAAACAGTTGAATTCATATGCTTAAAGAAAAACATATACTCAAGTGTAGAACTGAAATTGTTCATCAGACTTTTCTGGTATACACAGTGATTTTCAAACTCTTGGAAGGGGTTCGGGCTGTGCTTTTTATCTATTTTACTTACTTATTTGTGACAAAATGATTCTGCTGCTGAGAAAAGAAAAGGAGTGATGCAAAAGTTTGTAATCTATAGATGTATATGAACTACCTCTCAGAACTGGTTAGTTCTTTGTATTCTGATGATGTATTCTGTAAATGATTGTCTTGCAAATAAATTTCAGCTTTTCTCTTGATGGTGAGCACCAGAATTCAGCCACTGAGAGGATATTTCTCCATTATTAATTGATAATAACTCTTTAAAAGCAACATTGGAAGCCAGATAACAGTGGAAATGATATATTGAGTGTGCTGAAAGAAGACAAATGCTAACCTATAATCCTGTTCCCAGAAAAATTATCTTTCAAGAATGGAACAAAATCATTTTATAGATTAATTAAATTAAGATAGCTTCCTTGGGGTGCCTGCCTGGCTCGGTCAATAGAGCATGTGACTTTTGATCTCAGGGTTGTAAGTTCAAGTCCCACATTGGGTGTAGAGATTACTTAAACATTTTTTTAAATCTCAAAAAAAAAAAAAGCTTCCTGGCAATAGACCAACATTAATGGAAATTCTAAACAAGGATTTTAGAAATAAGGAAAATGATCTCAGATGGAGGGAAAAGTGAACGAACAGAAAATAACATGATAAATATGTGGATAAATATAAATGTGGACTGTATCAAATAATAATGCTATCTTTTGGGATTTTAAAAAAGAACATTAGCAAATACAAAAATAATAACCTAAGCTGGGAGGAAGGTAAAATATTCTAAGGGCCTAGAATTAATTGTTCAAGAAGAGAATATTAACTTCTGACTTTGTGTAGGGGTAGATGTTATAGTTTCTGTAACTTCTTTGTCCAATGTGGTAGCCAAGTGTAGCTATTTAAATTTAATTAAAAATTTAGTTTCTGAGTTGCACTAGGTATATTTCAATTGCATGTGGCCAGTGGATATCTTATTGAGCAATACAGATTTGGAATATTTCCATTATTACAGAATGTGCTATTGGATAGTGCTCTTTTAGAGTAACTATGAAAAGAATAGAAGACATAGTGGGTAACTTCTAGATTAGTAGAAAAGAGAAAAATTAATCTAAAGAGAAGGAAGAAAGAAGAGGTAAAGGAATGTTGAACTGATGGGACAAAGAGAATAGATTTAATAAGTTCAAGTATGTAAATAATTATAGTAAGTGTAAATAGGACTAAATGCTCTAGTTAAAAGTGGTTCTGAGGTTGGATTAAAATAATATATATTTGTTGTTCACAAGAGATATAAAAAACAAAGGTAGCAAGTAAAGAGAGGGAAAAAAAGATGCCATACAATTGCTTAATGTTTAATTTGCCAAGTAGATATAATTATTTTAGATTTGTATGTGCCCAGAGACACCTAGAAAGTAAATACCTGATTGATTGCTCATTCTTTGGACCCATGGGAACTGTCACAAAGAATAAAGGTCAGTTTTGGACAATAAAAAATAAAATTTGTGGGCGCCTGGGTGGCTCAGTCATTAAGCATCTACCTTTGGCTCAGGTCATGATCCCAAGGTCCTGGGATTGAGCCCCACATCGGGCTCCCTGCTCAGCGGGAAGCCTGCTTCTCCCTCTCCAGCTCCCCTGCTTGTGTTCCCTCTCTCACTGTGTCTCTCTCTGTCAAATAAATAAATAAAATCTTTAAAAAAATAAAATAAAATTTGTATGCATCTAATCATATAATCTCAAAGTACATAAAGCAAAATTTAACAGAATTATAAAAAGAAATAGATTGCCATACTGGAAGTTGTTATATCTTTGTCTGTAACTGACAGAAGCAGAAAATAAAACCTAATGAATATATATTCTTTAAAAAAATTAATAAATTTTTATTTTTGAATAATTTCAGATTTACAGGAAATTTACAAAGATATTACAGAGAATTCCTGCATACTTTTCACCCCATTTCTCTTAATCTTACATGACCTTGGTACACATAATCAAAATTTAATATTGGTGCATTACTATTAGCTATATTAGAGTCTTCATTCACACTTCACCAATTTTTTTTTTTAAGTTTTTACTTAAATTCCAGTTAACATACAGTGTAATATTAGTTTCAGGTGTATAATATATTGATTCAACACTTCCATGCATTACCTGGTGCTCATCACGACATGTGCACTCCTTAATCCCGTCACCTATCTCACCCCCTACCCACCTTTCTCTGGTAACCATCAGTTTGTTCTTTACAGTTAAGAGTCTGTTTCTTGGTTTGTCTCTCTCTCTTTTTTTTTCCTTTGCTTGTTTGTTTTGTTTTTTAAATTCCACATATGAGTGAAATCATATGGTATTTGTCTTTCTCTGACTGGCTTATTTCATTTAGCATTATACCCTCTAGCTCCACCCATGTCGTTGCAAATGGCAAGATTTCATTCTTTTTTTATGGCTGAGTAAGATTCCATTGTATATATACACCACATCTTCTTTATCTGTTCATCAGTCGATAGACATTTGGGCTCTTTCCATAATTTGGCTGTTGTAGATAATGCTGCTATAAACATTGGGGTGCATGTATCCCTTTGAATTAGTATTTTTGTATTCTTTGGGTAAATACCTAGTAGTGCAATTGCTGGGTTGTAGGATAGTTATATTTTTAACTTTTTCAGGAACCTCCATACTGTTTTCCAGAGCAGCTGCACCAGTTTGCATTCCCATCAACAGTGCAAGAAGATTCCCCCTTCTCTACATCCTCACCAACACCTATTATTTTTTGTGTTGATTTTAGCCATTCTGACAGGTGTGAGGTGATATCTCATTGTACTTTTGATTTGTATTTCCCTGATAATGAGTGATGTTGAATATCTTTTCATGTGTCTGTTAGCTATATGTCTTCTTTGGAAAAATGTCTGTTCATGTCTTCTGCCCATTTTTTAATTGGATTATTTGGTTTTGTTGGGTGTTTGTAAGTTTTATAAGTTCTTTATATTTTGGATACTAACCCTGTATTGGATTTGTCATTTGCAAATATTTTCTCCCATTCCATAGGTTGCTTTTTAGTTTTATTGGTTGTTTCCTTTGCTCTGCAGAAGCCTTTTATTTGGGGCGCCTGGGTGGCTCAGTAATTAAGCGTCTGCCTTCGACTCAGGTCATGATCCCAGGGTCCTGGGATCGAGTCCCACATTGGGCTCCCTGCTTGGCAAGAAGCCTGCTTCTCCCTCTCCCATTCCCCCTGCTTGTGTTCCTGCTCTCGCTATTTCTCTCTCTGTCAAATAAGTAAATAAAATCTTTAAAAAAAAAAAAAAGAAGCCTTTTATTTTGATGTAGTTCCAGTAGTTTGTTTTTGCTTTTGTTTCCCTTGCCTCAGAGACATATCTAGAAAGAAGTTGCTACAGCTGATATCAAAGAAGTTATTGCCTGTATTCCCCTCTAGTATTTTTATGATTTCAGTTCTCACACACTTCACCAATTTTTCTACTAATTTTTGTTGTTGTTATTCCATGATCTAATCTAGAATAATACATTGCATTTAATCATCATATCTTCCTAGTCTCCTGTCCATGACATTTTCTCCTGTTTTTTTTCTTGAACCTGACTATACATTCATGAAATTTATAAAAACTGACCTACGACAGGGCTATACAGCAAGTTTCAGCAAATTTCTAAGGATTTAAATCACATAGAGTATAGAATATCCTCTGACCACAGTGCAGTTAAGCTAGAAATCAGTAGAAAAACAATAGAAATAGTTTGGGCCAAAAATTTGGATAATGAAAGTCAGAGTATATTTTAACCTGCACAATAACTAAATCCATATCAAAACTTGTGAGATTAGCTAAAACAGCTTTTAGAGGGATTTTTAAAGCCCTAAATTCATATAGTAATGAATAAGAAAAGATTGAAAGCTAATAAACTATATATCCATTTTAAGAGCAGAAAGTGTTTTAAAAAAAAGATCATAAAGTATTAAAAATCAGAAAGTAAGATTAACAAAGCTAAAATCTTCAAAATTCTTCAAATATTCTTCAAAAAGATTTTTTTTTTTTTTTTTTTGACAGAGACAGAGAGGGAACACAAGCAGGGGAAGTGGGAGAGGGAGAAGCAGGCTTCCCTCTGAGCAGCGAGCCCTATGTGGGGCTCGATCCCAAGACCCCGGGATCATGACCTGAGCCGGGATCATGACCCAAACTGAAGGCAGATGCTTAACAACTGGGCCACCCAGGCGCCCCCTTCAAAAAGAATTTTAAAATGACAAACAGAAGGGGCGCCTGGCTGGCTCAGTCGGTAGAGTATGCGACTCTTGATCTCGGAGTTGCAAGTTTGAGCCCCACACTGGGTATAGAGATTACTTAAAAATAAAGTCTTTTAAATAAATAAATAAAGTGACAGAAAATGAAATTTTAAAAATGTCATTTACATAGCGTAAGTTCCTAAGAATAAAGCTGACAAAAAGATGTGCAAGATCTCTGTGTGCACAATTTTAAATTTGAGAGAAATTAGAGACCTATGTAAATGTAGGTCTCTATTCTTAGATTTTAGATTTTAAGACAATTTATACAAATGTCCATTCTCTCTAAAGTAAATTATAGTTTCAGTATGACCCCAAACAAAATCCCAACAGATTTATGGGGAGTAGTTTTGGAATGAGACAAGTGGATTCTATAATTTATGTGGAAATGCAAAGGGCTGGGAATAGAAGCCATGATATACTTGAAGCAGAACAAGCAGGGAGGACTTGCTCTTCCAGATAGGAAGTATTTTAAATATTGTAATTAAGATTTGGACCAATGACAGAATAGAGAAGCCAAAAAGACCATGCATATATAGACAGAAGGCACTGTAGAGCAACGGGAAAGGCAGTCCTTATAATAAAAGGTGCTAAGGCAATTAGGTAGCCATTACATATTTAATTAGATAGCCAGTTAGATAGCCAATTTGGATTTCTAATTAGATAGTCAATTGGAAAAGAATGAAATTATTTCCTCCAACTCACAGCATAAAATTTGTTCCATATGCATTGATATTTAACTGTAAAAGCTAAAACTGCCAAAGTTTGAGAGTATGTTTCTGACCTTAATGATAGGAAAGGATTTCTAAACAAATACATTAACCGTGAAGAACTTTGGTAAACATGACTACATTAAAATTGAGAACTTGTATTTATTTAAAGAAATGCCGAAGAAAATGTAAAAGCAAGCCCCTGAGAGGATTACAACTTACATAATGAATAAAGAGCTCCTACAAATACATATATATATATATATTTTTTTTTTTTTTTAAGATAGGCAGCCCAGTTTTAAAAAAAAGGAGCAAATGACTTGAACAAGCACTTTATAAAAATGGTTATCCAAACAACTAGTGAACATAAGAACTAGTCATCAGGGAAATGCAAATAAAAACCAAAATAAGATACCACTATTATACACCCATTAGAACATAGAACAATTAATATTTAAAAGTCTGACAGTACTAAATGTTGGAGAAGATATGCAATGTAGAGAATTCTCATTTCCCACTGATGAGAAAATAAATTGGCTTTCTGTTTTGGAAAGCAGTTTGGAGTTCTATAGCAAAGTTGAGGATAAGCATACGTTAAGACTTAGCAATTAGACAAAACATATTTCCTAGAGAAACTCTTTATGTGTAGAATAGGATAAATGTATAAGCATATTCATGGCAGTATTATTTGTCATAGCCCAAAACTGCAAGCAACTTAGCCATCAAAAAATGAATGAAAAAAAATTATGGTATATCCATACTGTGGAATACAATGAAAACGAACAAAGAACAGCTGTACACCACTACGTATAACTACCTAGCATATAATATATTTGCTTATTTGGTTTGTTGTTTGTCTTTACTCTAGAATGTAAACTATATGAAAGCATAGACCATCTCTTTTGTTCACTGCTGAGTCTGCAGTTTCTCTAACAGCACCTGGTACACAGCTGTGCATAAAAGGCTCCCAAATGAATTAATTGAATGAAATGCTAATGTAGAGATTTGGCCTATGAAATCTCTGTATTGAAATCTTTATATTGTTTATTGCTGGTCTATGGAAGTACAATTGATTTTTGTGTATTTATCTTTTATTTGTATTTTGTGGATTCCTTAGGATTGAAAATTCATATCCTTTGGAAAGAGTTAATGAAGTTAAGTCACTAAGGAAAATTGCTGTAAACAGTAAAAGTGTTAAGAAAAATAATGAAAATCTAAAGGAACTGTGCCCTCAAATTGCTTCTTAAGGGTCTAAGTTTTCACTTTAAATCAAAACTGGAAGTCATACTCTTCTGTGTTGTTTACATAGAATTGTAAGATTCTGCTTTCAAAGAAAAAGCCTTATTGGCTCTACATCAAAAGATTGACAAGTGAATACATTTGTGTATTTTAACGTGAAATGTTCAAGATGTGTATATAACATTTTTTCACAACTCCCTGCTTTGACTTTTTTCAATTAACTGCTCTTCTCAACAGTCGGTCCCACAATGGTTCAGAGGTTTTTCCCATCCTAGAATTTTGCAGGAACAAAGAAATTATAGCCTAGAGCAGTTTTTCTTAAACTTTGCAGTGCAGCAGTGGAATGAAAATTTAGACAGCTGAGAAGCAGTTTGAGCCTGGAATTCTTTTAGATCTTTTTAACAAGCTCCCTAGTTTGAGAACCATTGTCCAGAGTATTATTTGAACAGATACATGTGAAGACTTGTGGTATTCAAAGTGTAAGTATTCAAGAAGATCATTTGGATGTGGAAAGAAAACATTGGCCCTCTTATGTTATATCTATGTATTAATTTATATTTGTTTAATTATGTATATGTCAATACAGTAGTACATGTAAATAGTTTATAAGTAAATATATTTTACAGTTGGGATGGCAATCAAAACAAGTTGTTTAGACACCAGAAACCTATTTTTTCTTCAGTAGTCAAAGCAAAGTGTAATGGAAGGAGAGTAGAGATGCCCAGCTTCATTTTCCTTCAGCTTAAAACTTTGCATTTACTTTTCTACTCTACTGCCAAAGACAAAGATTAAATAAGACTCGTGAGGCAAATACTATCCCTGATTAATATATATTAACTTTTTTTCAGGAAAATGACATAGTTACGTCTACTTGCATCTCCACTATACTTTGCTGAGAACTAAATAATAAATAAAATGGGAGAACTTTGTTAATCCCATAAATTATCTTTAGATTTGCCTTGCTTTAAATGCAAAATATTTGTTTTTTAGAAAAAAAAACTGAAATGTTCTTATTTTTCCTCCTGAAATAGTTTACTTTTTATTTTAATCACTAGCATCTTTACAACCTTAAGAAATAAAGTTGCATGTAATAATCCCATTTCATTATTTTTTGCATAATTGAAATACAGCTAAGCAGTATTTTTCATAATGTGTTATAGTGAGCTGTAAACAAAATTAGGAACTGTTGGGTGTTGATTTTCTTTTTCAGAAGTCATATTTTTACATTTAATATTAGAATAAAACCCTAAAGAGTGAAATGGGTTTCTTTGTTATTGTTTTTAATCTTATCATGATTAGTGAGACAGTCATTTGTTTTCTAGATTGATGACATTGTAAAAGCTGTTGGTAACTGCAGCTACAACCAACTAGTGGAGAAGATCATCTCTTGTAAGCAGTCAGACAATAGTGAGCTCGTTAGTGAAGGTGGGTGAGTGCTGCTATTACCTGATTTATTCTTGGCAAAATAACTTGTGTTATAATTTAGTAGCTTTTAAATGTCATAAATAAGACTTCTAAAAAATCCAAGTGATGCTACTTGTAGGAATTAAAAGAAGTAATTATTCATAAAGATACCAGTGAAAGGTTTTTTTAGAACCCTTTTCACTTGATGTCTAAAATCAGGCCTGGATTCTACTAAAAGTCTTTGGAATCACTTGTTAACTTTGATATGATCAATTACCCAGGAGTTATTGATAATTACCTTTTTTAAAAAAAAGGATTATTATTTGGGAGTACTGAGTGAACTTTATAATTCATCCTCTAATTGATTGAAATGAGTATTATGTACTCATTTCAATGAGTGTTTATTTTAGTAGAGCTCTGCCTTATGTTTCAGTACAATATAGTATATTAAAGCACCATTCTAAATGAAAGTATACCTCTGATCATCAGATTTCCTAATCCCTAACTAATTAAATTGCTAAATTTATCATTGTAGAAGCAGTTTCATGTTTTTTCAGCTGTGTTCTGGTCAATGAAGGGAAAAGCACATTTGAAACCAGAATGCTATCAGGAGCCATAGTATTTGGATATACCTTTCCTACAACCCACTTCACTTTCTTGTAAATATGTACAAAAACTTAGGCTGCTATTGTCCTCTGTTTGAAGGGTAAACGAGATAGAAATCGTGAGAAGTAGGGGATGGGCTTCATCATCCTCTCAGACACAGTTCTTTTACATGAGGTATAATAAAAGTTGATTATAATCACATTTAAAAAAATAAAACTAAGTGACTACAAGAGTATATAAGAACATATGAGAAGGTATGTACATGAATCACATACTACATTAATCAGAACCCAAGTAATTATTCAGTTATCCATAAGTTTAACATGTTTATTCAAGAAGCAGGTAGCAAGAAAAGAGAGTATTTTAGTGGACACTTATCCTAGGTTTTTACTTGTAATAAATACATAAGCATACAGGGATACTGATCACTGATTTGTATGACAGCTCTTTCACTGCAACCCCAGGCAACAAAGTTTAATTTTAGGGGAGAGAGGAGCAACAAAAGCTGTTAAAAATACTTTCAATTAACAAAATTCCATTCACTAGAACTTTCCATTCCTTACCCAAACTCTTATTACTATATATTCCTAAAAAAACAGACTATAAAGAAAATTTCCATGTGTAGGTTCCAGCTTTCTCCATAACTTCCAATATGCTATTCAGTAGTAATTGAGGGAACAATAGGATTCAGCCATTGTTAACAGATGGAATAATAGCTATATTAGGGATATTTGGGTGAACAGGCTTATAGGGTAGGAAGCTATAGGGAACACTTGGTAACAGCATTTTCCCCAAGCTAGGCTGTAATGTAACAATGTAATGTACTTAGGCAGTATGCTAATTAACAAAGTGAACAACAACAAAAATCCAGCCCCTTCATCACTTCTTTCTCTCACCTGATGTTACAACTATTGTTACTATTTCTCTAACATTGATTCCCCAGGGTAACAAAAAACTATAACTAATTTATATAGTATTGATACCTTGAGAAGAACTCCTTGATAAAAGCAAGGAAGGAATCATCCTCTTTAGTGCTATAGAATTTTGGGGTAATATGTACCAGAATTGATTAATTCCTTGGTATATAAATTTTATATGGTAGAATTCTGCATATCAGATTTTTATATGTAGAATTCAGTACAATTAAAGTTTTTGTTTATAAGAAACTATAAATGTGCAGTCTGTTTGAAATAATTATTCAGTTCCAATGGTTACTTGTATAGGCACTAAGAAATGGTATAGGAAAGAAAAGGCCACAATGGACATTTTTACTTATAATGTAGCAATTTAGCTCCCCCCCCATTGTTTTCTTCCTCATATTTTCTTGGGTGTAGTGTTCAGATGAAGGAGTCTGCTTTCTTTTTCTGTTTAGCCCCCAACTGTAACTTTCCTTCTGAATCAATAAAATATCCCAAAGGTGGTTTATTTCTAATCCTTCTTTATTAAAAAGTGTTAAGTTTTAATTTCAGGTGATAATTACTAATTTTTTTAATTCAAATATTTCATTTCCATAAGGTGCAGAATACAAGATATATTTTAACTATCATTTTTTTATAAAAACGCAATGTTATTTAGCTAAATAAAATTAGATATTCTTTCACCTTCTTTCAGATAACATTTTTTTTCTTTTGATGGCAATACCTTGTAAGTAAAAGTACAGAACTTTTACATGTACATAAAGAGTATGTATTATTTGCTATATCTTTGGATGGAGGTACTTTTTTGAATCTAGTTATAATGATGGGTATGGCATGGCAGCAAAAATCAGTAAGGAAAAAAAATAGCACAGTACCAGCTGCCAGACTGGTCATTTAATTCCAGATGCTTTCTCAGTAATAATTTCTTCTTTAACGGTTATTCCTAAATTAAAAAAAAAAAAAATGCTTAAATAATTCCAGAATATTCATTCATTCAAATATTTATTGAGCCTTTATCATGTGCTATCAACACTGAAGATTATAGTTTGAATTCATGTTATTTCTGATTAAATGATACTGATTTTCTCTTTTTTCTTTCTTTTATTTTGAAAACTCTCAAATCCATAAAAAAATTGGAATAGTACCGGGATTATTTATGCACTTTGCCTAAATTCACCAATTATTAACATATTGAAGTTTTGCTTTCTTTCTCTGTTTACACACACACACACACACACACACTATTTCCTAAGTCATGTGAGAATTAGTTGCAAATATCATAGCACTTTACCTATTAATGCTTCAACAGTTGTCTCCTAAAAACAAGAATTCTCCTATGTAGTCACAATACAATTATCTCAGGAAATTTAGCATCAATACAATACTCTTATCTAATATACTGTTCATATTCTCAATTTTCCAGTTGTCCCAATAATGCCCCTTTTAGCTTTGAAGGTTTTTCAATGTAGGCTCCAATCAAGAATCATTTAATTGTCATATCAACTTAGCTTCCTGTAATCTAGAACAGATCCTTAATCTTTTTTCTTTCTTTTCTTTTTTTCTTTTTGGTCTTTTCTGATATTGACTTTTCTTAATAATCCAGGCCAGTTTTTTTGTAGAATAGTCCTCAATTTGGATTCATTTGACTGTTTCCTCATGAATAGAATAGGTCATATATTTTTGGTGGGAATACTACATAGGTGATACTGTGTCGTTCCCAGTGCATCAAATCAGGTGGCACAAGATAGATGTCTGATTATCCCATTATTGGTGATGTTGAAATATGATATGATTAAAGTGGTATCTGCCAGATTTTTTTGTTGTAAAGATGTCCTTTGCCTTTTGTAATTAATTAGTAATCTCTGATATCATGCTTTGAAACTGCGGGAATACCCTGTTCCCTAATAATCTTTTGGCCAGTACAATTGGCATTCATTGATTCTTATCTGAATCAACTGTTACTATGGTGATTAGGATATTTCTATTCCTTCTACATTTATTAGTTGGCAGTTTTCTGTAAAAATAAAAAGTGTTTTCTCCTCCCCCATTAAAAAATTTTTTTATCAATGTAGACTCATAGATTTTTTTTTATTCAGTGTGTTATAATCCATTATTATCATGACTCTTTTTAATGCTTAGAATTGTCTCAGATTTATCCAGTGGAATCCTCTCAGCCTGGATCCCATGTTCTTTTAACATGTCTTCATTTCTTGAGTACTTCCTTATTTTGTGGCACAATAGGAATGTTCTGGTCCCTACTACATCCCTGGAATCAAATTATATGAGCCCTTGTATTTCAGAGAAAGTCTGGGTATTTGTCATATTAAAAGGGATTGTTTTGTTGCATCCTCTTGGGGAAAAATGTTAATATAATGTATTTGATTTTTGAAAATTGATAGTATATGAAATTAAAAAGAAAATCATTGTTTAAAACTATCACAGTGACAAAGTTCTGATTGAGTTTAAATTTGAATGCAAATCTTAAGCAGTGCCAAATCTAGCCAACATTTAAAAATAAGCCAAGTTTTCCTTTTTTCCTGTATCCTCTTTTTGTTCCTTTTTGCCTAATTTTAGTGCCTCTGTTTCTATTTCAGTTTCTTTAAGGCACTTAGTACCTTTCTGTTCTCTAATAACTCCTCAGTAATGAAGGAAAGTAATTTGATAAATTTAGTATTGAATTTCTGAAAGAAATATTTTCAAACACATAATGTCAACAATTTTTAATTTAAATTTACGTTTAGTAATATAATTTTATTATTACCATTATATTAATTTTAACCTTACTTTAGTATCATTAATAACAGTATCTATAACATTAAAATTGAAATTTAAGGGGCACCTGGGTGTCTCAGTTGGTTAAGCATCTGACTCTTGATCTCAGCTCAGGTCTTGATCTCAGGGTCATGAGTTCAAGCCCCGCGTTGGGTGGATGGAACCCATTTAAAAAAAAAAAAATGAAGTTTAAGCTAAATGTTGCAAATAAATTGTCATTTGAAGCAATGAAGATAAGTAAACTGCTATGTAACACTTAGAATTGTTTACCAAAATTTGTTTAATTAGTTATGAAAAGTTGAAACTAGATTAGGCTTTTGAACAGTCCATGAAAATCACAGGGGTCATTTTTTTTTTTTAAAGATTTTATTTATTTATTTGAGAGAGAGAGAGCACATGAGAGGGGGGAGGGTCAGAGGGAGAAGCAGACTCCCTGCTGAGCAGGGAGCCCAATGCGGGACTTGATCCCGGGACTCCAGGATCATGACCTGAGCCGAAGGCAGTCGCTTAACCAACTGAGCCACCCAGGCGCCCCACAGGGGTCATTTTAAGAGTTGGTAAAAGAATTAGGAAACATTGTTCTCTATAAGTCTAAATTAGAATATGCTTTATGGCTTGGGAGAAATACAATTCAGTTTGCATTTATAGTAATCAGCACTAAATTTTTAAACTTAATGCCAATAATTCTCCTGGGTTCCAGTCTTCACTTTGCTGTTACTAGTTTTATGTCCTCGAGCAAGTCATGTATTCTCTCTTGAGCTGATACCCTGTTCTCTAGAAAGAAGTACCTGAGAAAGACCTTTCTAGTGTAGCATTTTTGAATTTCACACACATGAAATAATGTTGTGAATTCAGTTATCTCCACTCATTTTTTGTATCTTTTTGAAAGGGATTTTTAGAGAGGATATTGTGTGAGATGTGGGAGGGGTATTTAGAAACATCTTTCTGAAGGAAGCATTTAGTAACGTGGATATTATGTAGAACAGTGGTACTTCTCAGCATAGATATAGTGCTTAAGACTGAAACTGTTATATAGCAAGTACTTTAGTCTACTCAGTAACTTAGTACTTAGCAAAGTAATGATAATAACTGAAGGGGGGAGCTCTACTAAATGCATAAACCCAAGAAGTTGCAAATGGGCTATAAATTTCCTTTGGCAGGGGCCTTTTGTATAACTTTTTTGCACTTCCCCTCCAACCTTAACCAATTCCTTGGAATAGTGTGATACATTGGTAGTTTTTTACAACCACTTTGCAGCTTGAAGTGCTATAGCTTGACACCAAGGGTGAGGGATAGAGAGGGAGTGGAATAAAGCTATGTTATCCAGCTGCCTCTGGCCCTACGAAGTTTATTTTTCAATGTCTTGTTGAGGTGTCAGTTTCTTAATGTAGATTTATCTTTCCTCCCTGTATCTGCACCTCTCTGCTCACTTATAAAACTTTTTAGAGCATTCTATTCCACCCTACCCCACCCCACCCCCACTGCTTCTGAGACGTTCCTTATTAAAGGAAGGGAGCAGAAGGATGAAGGAAGAAAGAGAAGGAAAGAAGAAAAATACAGCCTTTTAAGTTATTTATACAGATTCTCATTATTCCTGGTAGTTACGTTCTGTAAAGTTGCTATGAACATTAAATTCATGAATACTGAACCACTCTTCCTAGGGGAAACACAAGATTAGGTTCCTATGAACCTCTGGTCACAAGATTTTCATCAACTGATCAGTATATAACCTTATTTTATTTGTGTTTCTGTTTAGAGACCCCTTATTTAAAACATATTGTTGATTCATTAACATTAAATTCATGGCCAACAGCAACTATAACTCATGTCTGAATGAATCTGCAAAAATATGTGTTTTCTCTGTAAGGCACATCACAGCCTTTGACTCCCCAGCACTTCAGCAGTATGCTTGGGGGCCATTTTACACACCCAAAAAGACATACCTAATAGACTGTGAAAAGTCTATTTATAGTAAGAAAGCTGAAACAAGAAGGCAGAACGTTGCCTTGTTTGACCTCAGTGGGAAATGTGTGCATTGAGTGACTCAAAATTTTTGCCACTTTGTACAGATCCAAGATTGACCCTGAAGCACAGCAAGTATTGATTTTGGATTTTTAATTTTAGTTACTAGGCAAGTTTGCAGATACGAAAATATGATATGAAAGTGCACAAATAATGAGTATCAACTGTACATATATCTTTTAAATTAAACTCCAGAAAACGTCTTTATATTTCATTGTGTTTTGAAAACAGATCATTTCTGTCTCTGAACTTGATATATCTACATAATGAGTGGTATATGTGATAGGACATTAGGATAAAAATGGCATCAGTTATCCCACTGTTTTCTATTTGGTCTCACACCTACGTTTAGTTTTTTAAGGCAAAAACTGAACAGTTTGTGAATTGAGAACTATCTGGGATCTTTGTTAACATCTTAAAGCAACTCAAGTTGTTAAACACCTTTCCATTGGGAAAGTAGCTGTTGACATACATCTTTCATCCCTACCTACTTTTTAAATTGCTAACTCTTGCCTTCTTATTTATTTTAATGGGTTTTAGTTTTATTGTGTCTGTATCTTTTATTGATAGCGCCTGAAATCCTTTTTGGAAGTAGGTGGAGTATAAGTAAATACATTTATTGTTAAAAAGAATTTCACATAACTGTTTCTTCAGGATGGAGAATGTCTATAAACACATCTTCCATAGCAAAATTAGAAAGAAAAATCTTCAATTTGGAGTCATCATGTTATAGTAGTTAAAATCTTATTTTGGTTGGCCTTTCTTCATACTTGGAACACAATGTAAATAGAAAAACTTTTTAATTCTGAAATTATTCTTCCATCTAATATTATGCATTGGTTCCATAGGCTTTGTAGCTGAGCAGTTTCTAAATAACACAGCCACTCAACTGACATACCATGGATTATGTGAACTAACTTCAACGGTTCAGGAAGGAGAACTTTGTGTGTTCTTTCGGAATAATCATTTTAGCACCATGACCAAATACAAGGTATGATATAGAAATAGCTTTTTAATTGTTATTCTAAATTAAAGGAGCTGGATTTAGAGATGTCTTATGATCTACTTCAAAATAAAAAAATTCAGCATAATATTCTTTATTCATCAAATTATGAAGGTAATTATTAAATATTTAGGATGCAATGGATTCACAATTTAAGTGTTACTTCAAATCAGCTTTTTGTTTTAAGTCTCAACTCCTTTTTCACAGATTACTGCATTAAAAAGTATTATTTCCTTTCTAAGAAAAAAATAAAGATAAACCTTAGAGATAGAACTAGGATTGCTAATGATGGATGTGTATATTTGACGGGAAGTTAGAAGAAAGAATCAGGATTTGTCTCTGATAGTGTTTACTATTATTGAAGTTATCAGTGTGACTTTAAATTCTTCTTATGCCATTTATGGCTCTGCCAAAAATCTTACTGATTTATCCTTTTTGTTATCTCTTCATCCATCTCTTCCATTTTCACAGCTGCTACCTATTTGAGGAGTTTCTCAACTTATAGGGAGGCTTCTGTGGTAGAATACTGCTCTGATCATGTCAATAATATAGCAAAAATGCTCAGTAGCACTCTGCTATCCTCAGTGCCTAGAGGATAAAAATGCAAGGTATTTTCTACTATTCTCCTATGCCAATACTTTGCTTCAGCCATATAGCCTGCCTACTCATTAATAGTCCTCTCTCTTCGTAGACACTTTATGCTTTACCATTTCTGCATTTTTACCATCATTTCTTACTCCTTAATTCCTATTTGAAAAGATCTCACTCCTTTTAGCCTATCCACATTTCACCTAGCTTTTAAGAAGCATTTCAAATACTAACTCTCCAGTACGGCTACTCCTTTTCTCCTAAAACCAGTAGTTCTCAACCAGGTTGTATACTAGAACTACCCGGAAGCTTTTTAAAAAATACTAATGCCCAGAGCCCACCACCAACTCAGTTAAATCAGAATGTCTAGAGGTAGGACCTAAGCATCTGTATTTTTTAAATGCTCCCCAGGTGATTTAAATGTGCAGCTAAGGCTGAGGATCACTACTTTACCCATCCTCCTCTAGCTATTATGAGACTTGTCATTCTTACTTCCCTTACGGATGAGTACCTGGTTACCAGTTTTGTTTTCATGTAAATGTGCCTTCTTTCTCTAAATGAAAGTAAGTGGATTGAAGTCAGAAATCGGATCTTCATACTTCCTTCAACACTTTAATCAATGAATTGCACAAAGCAGTGTAAAATGATTTGTTTGCTTATATAAGAATACTCTAAGTACTGAGCAATATATGGAATTGTTGAATTGCTATATTGTACACCTGAAGCTAATGTAACACTGTATGTTAACTATACTGGAATTAAAATTTTAAAAAATAATAGTTAAAAAAAATACTCTGTGGGACACCTGCGTGGCTCAGTCAGTTAAACATCTGCCTTCAGCTCAGGTCATGATCCCAGAGTCCTGGGATCGAGTTCCGCATCCAGCTCCTTGCTTAGCAGGGAGCCTGCTTCTCCCTCTCCCTTTGCCTGCCGCTCCCCCTGCTTGTGCTCTCTCGCTATCTCAAATAAATAAAAATTTTTTTAAAACTTTAAAAAATAAACTGACACTTGAAAAATGAATCTTTTAGGAGTTTAATCAGTTAGCAAAAAAAGGATTAACTAAGCAGATAGAACATGTGTGTGCAAAGGCCCTGAGAAGGGAAAGAACTTAACTCCTTAAGGAATTAAAAGAAGTCCTGTGTGATTGAAGCATAGAAATTAAGAGGCATGATATAAGACTAAAAAGATAGGCAGGTACCAGATCTTGTAGAGTCTTGAGTTAAGAGGAGAAAGACCTTGGTCTCCTGATGGCCTAGTGGTTCTTTGTGTTTTCTTTCTTTTTTTTGGCTCAGCAGGGGTGAGATCGGTCAATGGGAAAACAAGATCTCTGACTGTCATTGGTGGTTGGTATGCAACCTCCCCAGACTAAACTGTAGATGTTCTCTTTTCTGTCAAGGCCATATCCCTGACCAGAAGTCCTTTACTAGTCAGCTAGGGATTCGCAGTGTTCCTGTGTGGTTGGGGAAGGGGTACCTCTCCTGAAGCACTTTCTACCATGTGTCTGCTTCTGGACGAAGGATACCTTTCTGTGAGATAATGATAACTCAGAAAATGGGTGCATTCTGCTGTTTGTCTGCTTCCATGTTTTTCTCAGTAAACCTTATTCTGTGGCTAAACAGTGTATCCAAGGTGTTGTGTTCTCTCCCTCCCCCCTTTGTACAACATTAAGGTGCTTTGGATTTTGGGGCAAATGTGGATGTGGATTTAGTTAGGAGACTATTGCAGGGACCAAATAAGATGTTACAGTGACTTGGACTAGGATGGTAAAGAAGTGCAGAGTAGAAAGATTCCATAGACATTTAGGAGGTAATCTATCAGATTTGGTGATTAGGTTGTAAAAACTAAGAAAGAATGGTTTCTGGGCTCTGAGCACGAAGAACTGGATAAATGGTGGTGCTCTTTATTGACACCAAGAATGCTGAAGAGAAGATGACAAATAGCATGAAATCAGCCTTGGAACTGTTAGAGCTGCTTCTGAGGCATACCTCCAAGTGGAAATGTTGGGTAAATGGTTCAAGACTGGAATAATTTTTGTGTATAAATGGTAATTTGGGGAGAGGATGAGATTTACAAGGAAAATAAAGAATGAGAAGAAAAGAGATGATAGGACAGAGATTTAAGGAGTGCCAATATTTAAGGGTCAACTAAAGGAGTATGAACTAGCAAAGAAGACTGAGAAAGAAAAAAAAAGGAAAATCTAAAGAATATGGTATCATGTAAGAACAGGGAGAGAGTATTTCAAGAAGACTGGAGATCTCAGTTGTTAAATGCTGTTAAATCAGTTGAAAAGATGAGTAAGATGAGAACACTGGGGGGGAAACATGATACGGATTTCGTTGGTACCTTTTAGAGAATGGTGGCAGCAGAAAAAACTCAATTTGAATTGGTTAGGAAATGATTGGGATGTCAGGAACTAGGAACAGATGATAGGAAACTAGTTTGAAACTGTCTGTGAGGGGGGCATAGACATAATGGCTCATAACTGTAGTGGAGTATGGAATCCAGAGGGTTTTTTTGTTTTGTTTTTTAGTATGAGAGACTTGATCATGTTTCGATATTGAAGGACTCACTAGAGAGAGAAAGGTTGAAGGTTCAGGAGAGGAGATAATTGATGAGAGAAGGCTCCTAAGAAGGTGAGAAAGGACAGAAATTTTCACAGGCGAAGGGGATTAACCCTTGATTGAAGAAGAGACCTTTAAAGGAGAGAAGGAATAGACTATGAGTACAGCTAATTTATAGATTTGATAGCAGGAAGTAGAGAAAACTACTGTTTGAATGCTTCTAGTTTCTGTTACTATTTGGAAGGCAAGATCATTTACTAAGATTGAGTAGTTAAGTTTGGTAACAGATTTGAAGGAGGTAGTTTGAAATAGTCTTTACGGCATGTGGGAGGAAGTTCTAATTAGAGAAATTAAGAAGGTAGTATTGAGGATGCTAATTATTACATGAATATACCTCTTGTGTGATTTTTCTGCAGAAGTATTCTTCAGGGTATAGGCATGGCAAAGGTAGTTATTCTAGATTTGGGACTTTGTTAAGTGGGTGCAGTAAAGAACAGAAAACCAAAGGAGTTTAGGAACATCATTCTTCACTAAGGTAATCCAATTTTTTTTTAAAGATTTTATTTATTTATTTGACAGAGAGAGACAGCTAGAGAGGGAACACAAGCAGGGGGAGCGGGAGAGGGAGAAGCAGGCTCCTGGCTGAGCAGGGAGCCTGATGCGGGGCTCGATCCCAGGACCTTGGGATCATAACCTGAGCCGAAGGCAGATGTTTAACGACTGAGCCACCCAGGAGCCCCAAGGTAATCCTATTTTTATAGAAGGGATAAATGGGAACAACTATCTTGGTGGTCAGTCACTAAGGGAAATGCTTAGTTTCCCTTGTTTACTGTAGTGCCCACCAAACTGAAACAGTAACACTGTTTTTGTTTTTTATTATGAAAAACATTTTTGTATTTTGCTTATACTTCAATATGCGTCTCTAAACAAGAACATTTTCCTTTCAAATCACAGTACCATTACTGCATCTAACAAAATTAATTATAATTTTTAATATCTTCTAATACCTAAGCCATATTCAAGTTTCCCATTTGTCCCCTAAATTGTTTTATAGATGATTTGTTCAAACCAGGGTCTAATCAAGGAACATGCATTATATTTGGTGAAGTAACTCCATTTTAATCTGATGCAAATCTTGTGTTTTCCAGGGATCTTATAGGCCTGTGAACAATTTATTTATGCCCCATTATAATCCTCTCAGTCCAGTCCTGTTTCCTGTATTCCCATTGAACTATCCAATCCTGAGGGTCTGTAAATAAGACACTGCTTTACATCTGGCAGAGTACTTAATGATTACATTCTTTTTTTTATATGTAAGAATATTCTGGGGGTTTTTTTCCTATAAGATTTATTTATTTATTTTAGAGAGAAGACACACGAGCAGGAGGAGGGATAGAGGGAGATGGAAAGGGAGAGAGAATTTCTAGCAGACTCCCCAGTGAGTATAGAAGTGGCCACATGGGGGCTTGATTCCCTGACCCTGAGTTCATGACCTGAACTGAAACCAAGAGTCTGACACTTGACGGACTGAGCCACCCAGGTGCCCCAATGAGTACATTCTTTTATAACAGTCAGAGACACTTTCCCTCCTCATGACCCAGTGGCTGATTAGCTGATTTACAACAAAATCTATAATATTTCTTTGGCTGTTGGTGTAGAGCTAGAAGCCCTAAAAGAATACTTAATAAAGTTTAGGGACGGCATTCCTCCAACATGGTATCCATTTGCTTGGTAAGGAAATAGGATATAAGATTGTGCCCTTGTTCTATTAAACCTGTTCAGCATTAAAGCTATTATTCTCTACCATTAATTTCTGGGTTGTTAAGAGTTTCTGTAGTT